TCAAAGTCAATTTAAATTGTACAGGTGTCAGGATTAGTCTGAATTCTTATGGATTTTCTGTGATTGTGACCTTGAAAGACACTCTAATGTTTGAGAGGCCGTTCAATGAGAAACGATCAATATAGAAGCACTCAGAATATCATCGATCTTTTCAAAAAGTTCCGTGTTTACCACTGAAACATGAGCTCGTTTGGACATAACGGCGTTTTCAAAAACCCAACTTTCGAGCACAGCCAGGATCCTGCTCACATAGCGGCTGGTAAGGTGTTGGAGGAGAACGGAGTAAGAACAAGTGAACAGGTTACCGATGGTGGCTTGAAAATGGGTACAAAAATCCCACTGTGGTTGAAATTGATAGTATTTTTGATATTCTTTATTGCTGTTATCGCAATGGTCTTTACAATGATGATGTACTCGGGCAAAATAACTCCTCAAACCAGTAATCCTGATTCTAATAATCAAGGTAAGTACTTTCATAACACTTGCATTGACTACTTCCTTCCAACTTATGGTCGACGCACTTTTTAGTCTAACTAAACATATACAAATACTATAACTGAGAAGTACTTTATTCCTACTTGACGATCGAAATAAAGGATAAGACGAGAAGGTTTTCTATTGGCTATATATTAAGATGTTTGATGATTAATTATAAGAAAGAAATGAAGTGATGTGAAGAAAACTATAGCCACTGAACAGGGTCGTGACATGCGATGTGGGATGAGAGATCAGAGTCATTATTGTGATCAGCGATCAGAATTTTTGCTTTTGAATGGGGATCAAAAGTAGTAGGCTAACCCTGAAAATTTTGCAAATACAAATGCATGTGATAACTCAAATTTTGTGGGATCAGGGATAAAACAACATTATGTACATTTTTGCAGCAAGGTTTATAAATGTAGTTGATTGCTGATTGGAACAACTTTCAAATCTATGACGAATATTTTCAATTTTCGCCCAAGGTCAATTCTCAAACTGGCAATGACGTCATTCCTCAATCAAAAACAAAATACAACATCATTATACAACATTTATAGCGACAGCGTCTTAAAAAGGAAACCCTACATCACGATATACTTTTTTTTTTTTCAAAACTTGAGAAAATATAATACTACACATTTACATTGAAAACAACTTGGCGATGATAATTTAATAACAACTACATCCACTGATTAAAGAAATACACGACAGCCAATCACAAAAAGCTATCAGAACAAAATACATGGCAAACCTACCAACCAAATAAATAAACGTAATGCTTCTAAGCTATTCCTATGAGTCAATGATGTTAAACAGAATGAGAGTTAACAGTCAATTATTTCTCAGCATCAATAAGCCCACAATCTGGATTCGACGTTTCAAACAAACAATTGAAGCAACTAATTGACGAACTCCAACAACAAGTAAAAGATCTCGAGGCAAAGCTAATGAAAAAGATTAATGACACCAAAACTATACTGGAGAAGAACATTAATGACACTAAGGACATGAGCAAGGCCGACGACGAATCCCTTAAAACTACGTTAGAGAAAAGCATTAATGAAGCTAAAACAATGCTAGAGAGCAGCATTAATGACACCAAGAACATGAGCAAGACTGACGACGAAACCCTTAAAACTACGCTGGAGAAAAGCATTAATGAAGCTAAAACTATGCTAGAGAGCAGCATTAATGACACAAAGAACATGAGCAAGAATGACGACGAAACCCTTAAAACTACGTTAGAGAAAAGCATTAATGAAGCTAAAACTATGCTAGAGAGCAGCATTAATGACACAAAGAACATGAGCAAGAATGACGACGAAACCCTTAAAACTA